TCCTACAGATTCTGCCATCTGTTAATTGATTGATGATTGGTGCACTGTCATCACAATGAAAATCTTCTGTTATATCATCTTCATTTATTACCATTTCTTTACAAAATCCATTACTTGGAAAATTTCACCTGTGGTTTGCAATATCCGAAAGCCTTCAAATTTGCGGCTGTCATCTTCATTTCATCTTCACCATGAAATATGGTAGCTGGTCATAAATTATGCCGAGCACTTTTTAATGTATCTGGAGACACAGCCTCCCATGATCTTGAGATGCTCTACACAGCAGATTTTATGCTAAAATATTTTTTTAATTCTTGAATAGTCTTGCCATTGTTCAAGAAATTTTAACATTGATTTTTAAAATGCTACTTTATATTTGCATTTCAGCATGTGTACTATTCTGATATCCATTGTCTGAAAGACGAATGTACAGTTTAGAAGAAAAAATAATACGAATACATTATCTTTCATTAAAACTATAAGTGAAATATGAGCCAAACAGTTATCTACAAACAGGACAATTTTTTTGCCACCAGGTAAACCAATCAAATTCAAATGTTGCCGAGTCTCGGGTATGAAATGAATTTCAAACCAATCATACATTAACGCTTGTGTCATCCATGCTGTTTTTATTTGCATGATATATAATGAGAAAACCTTTACTCCTTTAAATGCTTGAGGTGGTGTATTTTTTCTGATTATGAAAACTTTACACTTGTGCATTACTACAGCATTTGAACATGCTAAAATTCTTGGTCTAGCTTTTGGAATTTTTGACTCCAGTTGGAGCCTTTTCTGTAGACTTTGACATGGTATTTCATGATACCTATTGCCAGAAAAGACCAGTTTCATCAAATAATTAACTCATTAATATGAATTCAATGAATTTATCAGCAAACAGTTCAGTAACTTCAGTATCAGCTGAAGATTTTTCATCTGAAATTTTTAATTGCATTATACCACGGTGATTTTAAAATTTGAATATGAAAATAAATTATTTTCCATATTCAACAATCTGTTGAATATGTGCACTCAGTTTTTAATTTCTTCATGAAATACTTTGGCTTGAACCATTAGCATTGGACCTGTCAATGGCATGCTCTCACTGCATCTCTGTCTGACCATTCAATCATCACTTTATGATGACTGTCACTTTTAGCATAGCGAATAATTTTTCTGTTTTTCATTGTGAGCGGGGTGTCGGAATCCACCAAATATTTATGAAGTTCCTTTTTCTATTATGCCATATATAGTTGACTTTCTAATACCATACTCATAGCATAATTTTGAGCCTGATATACCTATATCCATTTCGTGCAGCAATTCCACTTTTTGTATAATGGACATTGAAACATTCTTTCGCTTTGTAGATTCTGTTGCAGCTCCAGAATTAGAAACTCTTTTCAACACAATTGAAAGTTCAAACTTTTAGTTTTCATAAAATTGCTGGAATTATAACAACTTCCAAAAAATAATAAGCTGGATCAAATCAGAAAGTTAAGGAACAGTGCAGTTTACTACATTAACTGAAATTTTTTGGAGTCAGTAAAGTATAATTTTAGCCTACCGTAATTTCGCGCGTATAGTCCGCGGACTATCTGTATTTAAAATGCGAATTTTTGAAGCTGCGGACTATCCACCAGTGCGGATAATACGCTGGTTGTTCACGGTTAAAATTGTTGAAATTTAAAAAACACGCTGTCATGAACTGCCGATGATGAAATATAAAAATAGCGTGAGATTCCAAGTATCCTTCGCACTGCTTTAGCACAACTGCCGGGAGGGGGAAAAGTCGATGCGTCAACTCGGTTTTTAGGAGCCATAGTAGCAAGTACCTGGAGTACGAAAAAAAAGCGTGATTCGTTTACTTTAGCGTGGTTTGGCAACACCAAGTGAGTGGGGTCGAAGGTCACATTTCATTACCACTTATCACGAAGATAGCACGTTGCACAGTATTTTGTTTTCGTATTTTGTCTTTCATCTTCGCTAACGTTGATGAAACATCGCCGGAGATTTACTGCTGAGAGGTAGTTGAGAAAACTGAAAAAGATGGAAATAGAGAAGCGGGCCGTTATTGCTTTAATCCTAGTATCCGGTGCACACGGGATTTGACTACTTTTGGCGACTTTATGATGAGCAGTAAAAACGGGACATATACGATGAGTAGTTTAACGGGTCATTCAAAGAAAATATATAGTTAACATAGTATATACTATGTATATAGTATATATACTATGCGTGTATAGTTATATATAGACGTTTTCTTTGGATCATTTTTGGTGTTGGCAAAGTCGCGCCAAGGCTGCACCGTATACTAGGATTTTACTCTATTATTTTGAAGTGGACAAGAAAACGGTGAGAAATTTGCGCAAACAAAAGGATGTGTTTAAAAAGCATGGGAATATTGCCGTATTAAAAAAACGTAATTTCGGACATATAGTCCGCGGACTATCCGGTGGTGCGGACTATCTGACAATTTTTAAAATTTTTTTTTATATAAAATCGTGTCTGCGGACTATACGATGGTGCGGACTATACGTGCGAAATTACGGTAGTTTAACAAGCGTCCACTATACAATATTGGCTACGTAGCATGAGATTGGCAATGAAAGAGTCCGTTAAATTTTGTGTTGCTTCTATCGTGCCCCGAGACAATCAAGCCTGAATTGTATTAATTTAGTTATTTATTATACTTATGTCTAATTCGTGCACATGCTTAAGGCTTATACGAGTCCTGAATAAATTTCGACATATACTTAAGCTTATTGAGGGCTCACAAGATATTTTGCCGCCTGATGCAATCTATGTGACTAAAATATTAATAGTTTTATAATTAATAATGTTTCTATTTAGAATGTTTCAGCTTGAGATGCATGCAGCTATGGAGCCAAATTATTGATCACACAAACTTAAGCTAAAATGATTGTTTCTTCAATAACAAGGTATTTTATTTAGTGCCTAAGTGAAATTAAGAAACAGGATTTTCCGTATGTTTTCTTATGGAGGGGGAACCAAATGCGCATGCGTAAAGCATAAAAAGAAATTCCTAACGAAATTTTTGTTGGTGGCTTTAAGGTCTGGATTAATAACCAAGAAAATTTGAAGTATCCAGAAATGCCAAGAAAATTATGGAATATGCTAAAATGGTCCTCAGGAAGAGGATTAGCAATAATGCTGAATGAATGGAGCAATGGGAAAATGAAGAATTTGATACCTATCCTGTAGATACTACTCTCGGATTAGGTGCACACCAAACTAAAATCTTGGAAGATACATGCAGATTACTTAACTATGAATACTAAAAATCTTTTGGAATTTTTTTCTATTGAGAAAAATATGAAACGTTTCTTACTTTAAGCAATAGGGAAGATATTTGATCCTTTAGGATTAATTTTACCTTTCATCATTCGAGTTAAATGCCTCATCAAAGATCTCTGGCATGAAAAAATTTAGTGGGATAATTATAAACCTTTACGAAATAAACCTTTACGAAAAGAAATGGAAGAAGTGGTGTGCTGAACTTCATCACTTAGAAAATTTGAAAATACCTAGGTTGGTTAATGATTCTGTTTCAGAGGAAGATACTATTGAAATACACAATTTTTGTGACACAATAAAAAAGCATATAGCGGTGCCATATATTTGAAGGTAAAGACACTCAATGGGCTACCGGTGAAACTCCTAACTTCAAAAAGTCATGGGGTTCCATTACACGGTGTAGCCTTACCAAGATTAGAACTGCTGGGTGCTCTAGCTGCAACTCGTCTTAGTTCTAAGGTAAAGAGAATCATGAATCTGAAAAGATCTTCTATTGAATATTATTGGAGAGATTCCAAGATTGCACTTTTTTGGATAAAGAGTGCAAAAACCCGATGGAAGCAGTTTGTGGCAATACGAATCAACAAAATCACCAGCTTGACAGATCCTAACTCCTGGCATCACTGTGCAGGTAAAAAAAACCCTGCTGATTTTCTCATATGGAATGAGTGCTGATTCCTTGCTGACAGATTCTAGATGGTAGAAAGGTCAAGAATTCTTTAATCCTTTCAGGACGGGCGTCCTATATATGCATTCCCTAAGAACGTCTTGTACAGCCGGGCGTCCCATCCACGCATCAGTAAAGATTGCATTCAGACGACGGGTGATGCGTATACGCATTTTAAGGTGGAATGTTTTTCTGAAGGCCACTAGATGGCATCCTGTGTCATGACTTTTTGAAATGAACACAGTTTTTAGGTTCCTGACCTTGAGTTTGATAATCTACTTGACTTTTGGTATTTTACTCATCAGCTGTTCGAGGGTAGGGGTGGGGGCGGAAAGCGTAAACAGAGGCTGGCTCTTTAAATTGCTGCGTGCTAATGAAAACATTCGTATCTGATTTATATCCAATTCCTTTTTTATTCTATTTTTTTCCTCTACTGTGTACGGTTTTTTAGGTTACTGTGCAGAGTTTTTTTTTACATTTTTGCATTGCCTTCAGATATATTTCCTTTCCTTCTTTTTTTTATTTAAGAAAGCCTCACCTCCAGTCTATTATGGCGGAAAGGCACTATTTATCAGAGGAAGAATACCCTAGTATGGTTAGTGAACCATTTAACTAACGCAAATGAGAGTACTGATTCATTTTCTAGAGTTAAAAAATGATACCTTTTCTAAGAGTTACAAAGTGATACTTCTCTGTGCTTCGAAATTTACCACACTTGTTTTCATTTTAAATTTTGTTATTTCTTAACTGTAAATAGTCTTTATTGTGTTCTTTTATTAATTTTAAACTTTATGATGGATTTTTATCAATTAAAACTTTGGAAAATTTGAATAGTGCTTCCAAAATTATTTTAGAAGATAAGCAATTTTTTAAATATTTTTCATGTAAATTAAGAAGAAAAAGGGCTAATTTTAACATATATAAGAGCTCAATAATAAAAATGATAACAAAAATTACGATGCTAGAAGCAAAACTTTTGTTTTTCTCATTTTTGTTATAAAATTAGGCTTAGCGATACAAAACCTCCGTCCTGTACGGTGACTGCCTTCGATTCTCTTCCGGCCCACACGAGCGTCTTAAACAAAGATGTGCTGCCGTGAAAAGGTTAAGGAGCCTGAAATTTCTCAGAACTTGCAACCATTTGTTCCTGAGGTTGGAACCACTGTACAAGTCAAAAAAGAAACTTTGCGGCGAGAAAGGAAAATTCCTTCTGAAGATCAGACTTGTAAAAAGACTGTCCTGCTAAATGACAGCTCTCAACGTTTTATTGTGGATAACTTTTTAGAAGTTTCAAACTATTATTATAAAATTAACTATGTTTGGTCTTATATTTTCAGGTTTATTTTCAATTGCAGGAATAAAGTAAAAAAAAAAGGGGGGACCACTGTCAGTGGAGGAGGTAAGAGAAGCTGAAGAAGTTTTTATTAAACATGAACAATGTGCTCTGTTTGAGGGAAAAAAACTGTCAAGTAATATTTCAAATTTATTTCCATTTTTTGATGACCAAGAAATAGTACATGTAGGAGGAATGTTGAAGAACGCTTCAAGCCATATTCTCAAAGACATCCTCCTATTTTACCTAAAGCTTCAAAGTTAAGTAAAATTTATTTTGAAAGTTTCCACAGGAAATTATTTGATGTTGGACCACAAGTTCTGCTGAATGCAGTGTGCATAAAATTTTGGCGTTTAGGTGGCCGTGATCACACACGTAAAACAGTGCATCAATGTGTAACGGGCATTAAGTGTAAGCCCACTCTTTCTTCACCAATTATGAGCAATTTTCCTAGTGAAAGAGTTAGTATTTCACCTCCATTTGCTGTTACAAGTATCGATTTATGTTGCCCTTATTTAGTGAAATTTAAAAATCAGTGTAAAGGTATTCTAAATAAATTGTATCTTTGTATTTTTATGTTTCACAACAAAGGCCATTCATCTTGAGACTTTAACAGATCTGACTTCTGATGCTTTAATTGCAACACTTAAACGTTTTACAAGTAGACGTTACAAATGTTTCAAAATTTATACAGACAATGTTACTAACTTTGTTGGAGCTAATTCAAAATTGAAAAAAATTTATAAGCTCATTAATTTCCCAGACAAAGAATTAGCTCATTATTTCTCGCAAGAAAATACAGATTGGAATTTTATTCCAACCAAATCAGCTCTCTTCCGTGTACTTTGGGAAGCTGGGATAAAATCAGGGAAGTACCATATTAAACGTACAATTGGCATGATGGAAAGGTCCGTGTTGTAAGAATTCACACAAAAATAAGGGACTTTAAAAGGACAATTAATATGATTGCTTTTGAAATTTAGTAAATTGTGTATTATGTTACTCAGTTATTATTAATTATATATTTAAAATTATTTTTCTCAAAAATTTTGTATTCTTGTTTACAAGTTTCGATGTTTTGTTTACTTATTTGTATTTTTCTATACATATTTCATACTTGTTTACATAAATAACCGAAACTTTAATATTAATATTTCATAATTAAACTTATGTCAATTTCTCACATGTGAATATGGCAAGGCCGGGCGGGACGTTGGTGCATTTCACGCCGAATCTCGCCAAGTCATCGCCTCCTATGATTGAGGCAGGTAGAGTTAGAAAAAAATTCTAACTGGTAGGATGTGAGCATTTACTTGTAACCCAAGCTCACAATGAAAGTGTATTTTGCTTTACTGTAAATATCTGTATATGATATTTTGCTTAGTAAAATAATTTTAAAACGAAGTAGTGAAGCTGGTCCGTCGATAAAAATAATCTTTAAGAGAATTAAATTTATTCAGTTTCTTTATTCTATGGTAGCGTTTCATATCAATTAAATAATTTATTACCAATTTTTAATAAATTTAATTTGAAACCAATGGAATTTTGGTTATGCCATTGACTTGCTGTGCATATTCATCTAACAACACATTCAGCGTCATTGTCCCCGCTTATTTCATTGACCCTCTTGAAAACCCATGATGTAAATGAGCAACAATCATGAAGAGGCAGCATTTTACAAAATCTGTGCAAGTTGTTTACGATGCAAATTAAAGTAAATACAACATAATAGACTCGACAGATAAAAGATAATCTCATACATTTAGCAAAGTTACTACGGTCATGACTTCTGGTCATTTCAACTGATAATATTTTTAATAATAATTGTTCTCAAAAGCTATGGAATGCAACCACACAACATTATTTTAGCATGTTAATGTAACAGAAGTGATAAATGCCAGAATAAATGGTCTGGAATAGGTTAGAAAGCTCTATCATCTGGCATATGATGATTTTGTACTTCAGAGGTTGAAGATTGCAAAGCTTTTATGGCAGTGTTGGTCGTGTTGGCTCGGACTCCTGCAGCAACCATCGGCCAGCTAGAAGAGTAAAACACATTCTTTTTCCATCATATCTGAGGTAGTGATGCTACATTTAAGCTATGAAGTGAGCTTGAGCTGCAAATCAATGGATATATATTTCATACATTCAAGAAATGTGTCACTTAATAAAGAACATTGAAAAGAGCTAAAATAAAATATATCAGTAATTCAACCAAGGAGGTTAAAACGCTTAAGATACACCCTCATCACAGTTAATATCAAAAAGGGAGGGAAGGGAGTATGCTCTTAAAAGTCATGGTTTAGAAAACATAATGTGCATATCAAGCTTCTTTAGCCATTTAGGCAGAAGCTAGCCACACAACAGTTTTGCTGTCCTTGAAAAATAAAAAATATAACTATTATATAATAAACACTTGATTGGATGCTAGCACTAAATGTACAGTGAATAAAAAATAATGAGAAGAAATTTTAATACTCACACAAAGCATTCAAAATCACAGTGCTGCTTAATTTTGATTGCAATAAACATAATAAATGATAAAATTTTCCATACTGTTAATAGTAGTTATGCATTAAATGATCTGTATATAATGGAAAAGGATATAAGAAATATGAATTCTATATTGATATTTTCTTAAACTTATGCAACAAAGCTCTCTAAAAATCCACCATGCTTCAAGTGAAAAAGAAATTCTGTTATAAATTTTTTTTTTAAATTCGGGAGTAAGAAATTATAATATAAAGTACATAAAATACCAAATTTATAATGCAAGATAACACTTTAAAGAAGACTAAGTTTCTTCTCGCTTCATAAATGAATTTTATTTATTTATTTTCTAAAATTTGTGCTTGTTTTTTATTCATTTAACATCCCTCTTTCATAATTTAATACAAGCATCAGAATTCATTACTATTGCTATAAAAAGAAAAACAAATTATGCATATTTCTTTGTGAATGCTATACTGAAAAAGATTTTATAGAGTTCTTGTTCAAGTCTCTTGATACATACATTTCAGCTGTTCTACTTATTTATGCATCTTTAAAAAATTCCTTTCAATGAAAATGAAATAACTGTAGATATTATTTTGCTCTAAAAATTTATTACTTCCTAGCTGTCTTGGATCTTCACTAAGAATCTCTGTAAACATGCTCAAAACTTGGAAACAACAAAAGTTTCAACCTCATTTCACAAATGAACGCAATGTTTATGTGCCCTCAAAGAGGGCTTATTTGCTTCACTCTTCCCATGTACTGATAGTAGAGTTGCCACTCCAAGAATTTTAAACCTTCATAAATCCAATAAAACTTCAAAAATTACTTGTTACATATAGTTGATTATTGGTAATGCATTTATTCAGAAATATTTTTTGCATAAAATACTTACATCAACAATAAATTCTTCCAGCTATATTAGCAGATACTTGCAACTACACAAGCATAAGAATTATTTATCATCTTTTATATTCCCTTCATTGCATATAACACAAAGCAAAAATTTCGATATGCAAAATAAGAAAGTGAAATATTTTGAGCACTGATATCAACTTTCAAATGTTTAAAGCATTCAAATGCTTTTGTTCTCTATCTTCAAAAACACAAACACGCATATATATGATCATATACCAAACTTCAAAGTTGGTTTCCACTTTTATTTATCCTGCTTAAGTAGAATACCAAAAAAACGACAGGAGAGAATCAAAAATACAGCTTGAAAATTTTATTGCATTGGCCAACTTTAAAATTAAATTTAATGATTTTATTTTATAGGTGAAAGGTATTTAAAGCTTAAAATTACACTCCTGCTCAAAGAGCAACAGAGGCCAAAAAAAAAAAAAAAAAAAAAAAAAAAAAAAAAAAAAAAAAAAAACTTTTTAATGGACATGCTTCATACTTATCCAAGAGGATGGTGTGGCACTACTAGATCACACAGCAAACAATAAAGCAAAGACATAAAAAATGTATTATGACCATCACTTCGTGAAAGACCAAATGAGTCAGAAGAATGTGCAATCGACAGATCATGCTAATGATAAGTATGATACGCTCTAGCAAAAATACATGCTTGACAAGAGTGAAAAAAGCTGGCAATAGTGTTGTTGATTGCTTGTTGAGGCACTAGCATCCATTCTTGTAGTAACCCAAGTCAAAGCTCCTGGAGAATGGCTGGTAGCAACACTGCGACCTGCTTTCATGCTCTAAGGCAGCGGTCACCAACCGGTGGTCCGTGAAAACTTTTTGATGGTCCTCAGAAAAATTGGGACATTATTTACATTTTTATGAAAATACAGTTTAAAAGAACGATGAGTAACAAAATCTATTATGGAATATGGATTATACTTTTTTTAAAAAAATTTTAGCTACTACTTTTAGTGGAATTCCTTCCAAATTAAGCGAATTTTTAGCTCTTTTGCAGGTGTATCTAGCAACATTTGAAAGTGAGAGTTCCATGGATATACTGCTCTGATCAATAATAGAGGGAACTGGAATTCTCTTTCCTTTTGAATTACAAACATATGCTATTGTAGTCATTAACAACACAGTTTTCGTCCATGTCAATAGGCAACTTGATGGATTTTTAGGAGAACCATCTGCTTTCGTGTTTAAAACTGCATCACTGGAAGCTTCCATTTTTGTTTTGTCTAACTGTCGATCAATGGCGCTACTGCTGAGTAAGTGATTATTATGTTTACAATAATTAAAAATTGGCGGCATAACACTTTCAGTTTATTGATATTGCTTTGAGTTTGGTGGTTTGTTCTTGCTTTTTATGAAGTTCCTTTTCAGTGATATGGAAATGTGAAGCTTTCAGTACAAAAAGGTAAGATTTTTGTATTTTTCATATAATTTTTCAATACAAACAAAATATGTGTATCATTGAGATGCTAACAGTGTTTTAATTGTTACTCATAATCAAGGGCGCAGCCTGAATTTCCATAAAGGCATCCAGCTGAACACCAAATGTTTCGAAAATTATATTAACGAATGAAAATTAGAATTACATGTATTGGAAAGCTGAATATTGTTTCTGCATATTAATACATTGTTTTTAAGGTCTGATTAAAGGGTTTTTTTAATTCATATTAGTGGTCCACCAAATATAAAATTATATATGTAGTGGTCCATGAAGTTCGAAGGGTTGACGATTACTGCTCTAAGGGATTCAGGTCCAGTAATCTAGCAGGCTACACCACATGTGGAATAGTTTCATTCTCCAGATAACTCTGCATCACTCGAGCTCTATATGGGTGTCCCATAAATATCGCATCAATACGCATTGCAACAATAAAAGGATGCAAAAGAGGGTGTAGAATTTTGTTGCAATATCAGATGCTCTGATGGAAACATCAGGAATCACACAGAGGTCAGTGTGGCCATTCACTGCTATCCCAGCCTATAAAAGTAAGCCTCTTCCTCTATAATGGTCTCTTTCGATGATGTGTGGTGAACTCCCATATCTGTGTCACACACCACATGTGTCCCTGGTTCTTGCCATAGCACTGCCCTTCAGGACCATTCTGGATGTTAAATTGAGACTCATCTGTAAACAGTATGTGGTCCCACCACTCTGGTATCCAACTGTGAGGTTCATGGGCCCAGTTGAACCACAGCTCTCTGACATGAGATAGGGACAAAGGAACACAAACAACAGGTCGTCGGGCATACAGTCCACTTTCATGCAGCAAACATGGCATATTTTGGTGAGATATTGGCCATCCTGCAGCAGCAAAGAAATGCAACATCACCTGTCATAATATTAGAGTGATGCTACACAGGGTACCTCAAAACTATAAGCACACATTTTGAGGTATGAACAATATTCATACAGGATATCAGTATTGTAAATCAGTAGGATATCAGAGAAAACTATATAAGACTGGAGAAAGCATCAGTTTTCGGTTGTTTAGTTCAGAGAGGATATCAGGGTATTGAGAGATATCTGTGCAGGCTTCACTCTTTAGTTGTGTTTTGCATATTTAACATTCCTACTAGTTTGAAATGGTAACTACTGATCATACTCTGTCATACCGAGAAGAGCTATACTTTTTATGGGAAGTTCCATACCTGTAAAGTGTTTCTTTTGGTATAATAAATTTTACCAAGCTATCATCATTGATCTGTACATTCATCCATTACACATAACAATATGAACCACATTCATATACGAAACCATGATCATATATGCTACCAGCAGGCGACAGAAAAGATATAATAACACAACTAAAACATATACTAGTAGGCAGTATAAAACCCTTCATTATGTGAAGTTATCACAGTAGAACAACTGATCAACACAATATATGATTTTAGAAAAGTTGTTCGAAGTCCTGACAAAGACCAGTGATGAATATGTGCCACCATAATTGCATTAATTGCCAAACAATCAAAAGCATGCCTAGAGTTTTGTGCATACTAGCAGTGGCTCATCCATTACCATCAACTAGCCCATACAGGAAATGCATGTTTGCCAATTCAGCTTTTATAAAATAATGCACATTTTCCATATTATTACAAGCTTTAATGAGAAAGACCCTAGCAAAAACTTGAATGCATGCAAGCTTGAGTGTTGGCATACAGAGACATATATCCATTTCTTGTCTTGCTTTCCTATGCGAATATATAGCTCATATTAATTTCTCTAGTTTCATTCAAAGTTTGTATGGGAGTTTTGTAACATCCTGCATATAAATCTTTCTTTCTATATACACCCTATAACATAAAAAGCAACACACCAAGAGGAGGCATCCAAATGGAAGAATTTGCATATGCCCATACCTTATGATAGAATATGCAAGAGATTAACTTTTAAGAGCTAATTACTGATTAGCTGGAGTTCTAGAACACTGCAACAGAGCATGCGGATGGTGTATAAAACAGAGAACATTCCAATGCTAAGATGTAAATGCGGTTGAACATGGACTGTTCCAATGCTTTGTACATGGTTTCATGAACAGTATGAAGAGATGTTTTCACCTGAGAGAGGTTGTGCATCTGGACTAAAGGAAGTAGGGTGATTTAACACAGGATCACTAGACATTTGTAGTAGAGCAATGCTACCAGTCAGCACTCACAATCCCTCATGCACCCTTATCAACAATCCAATATGTTACCAGGTTTGAACATTTGATTTTTCAAAACATGTCATTTGCAGTATATCAAATATGAGTCTACAGCAGTATGTCGACTTTTCAGGGATAAGCAGACAGTCTTCCTGCATTTTCTCACATTTTCTACCGAAATGCTAGGTCTGCTTGCATCTTCCCTTTACAGACATTCACTCCTTTCAGAGCGATAATACCATAAAAAATGACTCCAATTTGTAAGTGGACTAGAGGCATACATCTTCAGTGAAATGTACATTAAGCCATTACTGAGGAAGTTGCATTTGCATAATGAATATGATTTTTGCATAGAAATTGACATTTTGAAAATGAAACACATTGTGCATTATGTTTTCATTAAATGTATTCAAAGGTTATCTGTGGGAATCATGGTATGCTGATTAGCTTATTAAAGATTGACTAGTTTATCACAGCCAAATTATCATAGATAATGTGTCTATTGCATTATTTGCTATAACTATCTGTAACAAGATGATGTCTTTTAACTTACCCTATATGTCTATAACTCTGACTGTTTATTCCACCCTGCACCATACAGGATGCTTTCTAAGAATTAATAGGATATAATTTTAATTTGTTACACTGACTTCCTCCCTCATACAGAATATTAATTATTAAATTCTCGGGTGAAAAAACGACAAACAAATAATATCTTACCTGGATAATAGCTGCTACTTCCAGCAGTAGGCAGAGCACAGTGTTGTGGAACCCTGTAATCAAGCTGGTGTGCAGGAGCTCCATTATTTATTGGCTTCTGATTTGCCCTATAAAGTTGATTTTGTACAATATTACTGAAGGAAGAAGCAGTTGGAGGAAGAGGAGGTGGATGAGATTGATTATTTTGCCTATATACATGATTATTTGGCACAGCAGGTTCCAGCTGTGGAGGACAAGATTGTAAATTTGACGATGGCAAAAATGATGCAACTGACACCATATTTGGAGGTGGAACTGTGACATCTGGTAGCTGAATAGGTTGAACTTGCTGCTGTGAAGGAAGAATTTGAGGTAAGCTGACAGAGTTGGATGAAGGATGGGGAGGTGGCATGTTAAAATTGGGAGGTGGAACAGTGAAATTAAGAATATGATTAGCTGATAATGGAGCACATGCATTTGAAACAGAATAATTTGAATTAGATGATTTAGATGGCAAGGTTTGAGGTTGGGGTGGCAGTGGAGGCTGACTGCAGACACCTGCAGTAGGCACATATATAGCATGAAGAGGTGATGGTGTCATAACAACAGAATATCCATTAGGTGCATGCGCCAGGACTTCCTTGGTTTGTTGAGTCATGAAGTCTAACTGTCGCCTCTTGTCTCTATTCCCAACAGAGGCTCCAGCATTTTGATCAGAATTTGCTGAGTCATTCTTGAGTGTATTGGTCTTACCATGCAATTGTATGGCTTTATTTTTGGATGATTCTTGATCCTTAGACCATGAACGCTGGTGAAACTCAGACCTATTATTTTTGAATGGCCATCTACTTTTCAAATGTAATTTTTTCTGATGGGAATCGGTATCATGAGACATACTTTTAAAATTTCTCGACGAATATTTTTCACCATGCCTCTCTCTGCTTGAAGCCCGACTACTGTAAGGACTAGTGGATCTTGATCTTTCTTTACTACTTCCTCTTGCAGGGCTTAAAGAACTTCTATTGCTGCTAACACTTCCAACGCTACTTATAGGGCTATGAGACTGAAAATAAGGTGATTCCAAACCTCGTTGATCAGGTGAAACAGAAGGAGTACGAGGTGGAGTATCAGGAGGAGTCCTTGGACCCTTCCTTGATCTATTCAGAATACAAGTCTTTGAACACACAGGCTTATGAGTTTCTGACTGAGATGCACACATTCTAGAATGATCTGCAAAACTTCCCTTTTGTGATACACCAGCATCTTTCACAGGTCTGCATTGATCAGTGACAAATGTATCACCGGATTTCTGATATGAAAATGAGTTTAATTTAGAAACATCTTCCTTCATAATTTTTGTTTCTTGATTACATTTATAATCTCTATTTGCATGATGGAGCTGTGTTGATGCTAGAGCAAGTAGTTTATCAAACCCACTGCTTACTTTAGCTTGCCATTTTTGACTCTGAGATTGGGAATGCAAATTGCTTCTTTCTTTAGTTCCAGTATCACCTGAAATATAAATATTATATAAAAAACACAAGTCTTTTTTAAAATATTATGCTTCAAAGCATGCAGTCAATAAAATTTCGTCAAAACGAACACTGAAATAGTACTTATACTTTATATATATAAAGTGCAAGTACTATTTTGTCAGAAACAACACTTGTCTAGATATATGAAAATATCTTCTACACTTATTTTTTTTATGTTAACTACAGGTCCTAAATAATTTCGTCTTACTCTGCATTTACTCAGAAATTCAATTATTTGAAAGCTGTTGTCAGCAATATGTGTTTCATCTTCTGTAACTGGTAAAGCTTTAAAATTATTCCTCCCTCCCATTACAGATAACATCCTGCAGTTAAGAACCAAAATAAATCTTCCAGTTATCAGAGATACTGCTCTGTAAAATTATCTCGCTATTTTAATTTCCTCTTCATAGTTATAAAATTTCACACATACAGAATAAATTATATTCCAGGTATTATTGTCTTATACACCAGCAAAACTTATGGAAAGTTGCTGAACGTTGATAGTTCAGACCGGGTTTTCAATTTGGACGAACATGCTGGCTTCACGGACATTTTTATGGTTTTCCTTATATGTAATATCAAGACGTTAACTATGTAGAATAATATATTACCTAGACGTCAAATAAAACAAATTTTTTATTATTTTTTTCTTCTCATACAGTGTTGGAATGAATTATATGATCTTAAAGCAACAGCAAGCATGCCATAAATTAGTGTTTCTCAACCTGTGTGCCATGGGACACCAGTGCACGATCAAATTGTCAAATGTACCATGAGGGTTTTTTTTGGGGGGGGGGGGAATTCAATTGCATGGTTTCTGTAACTTTAAAATAATGTTTGCAATTACTTTAATGGTTTACGAAAAAAATCTTTTTAAATTTAGTTTTCCCACGTTTTTATTTAATACTACATTTTCCCAACTGTAATTGACGTTGATTCAAATCAGCTCTTTCTTAAAATCAAAAGATTTGTAAAATATGTCAACCTGTAATTTAGATTAAAATAGCACACCAAATAAACATTGGAGAAGTCAAACAATAAGAATCAGTGTAATACTTGCAAATTTTGCAGGACTAGAGCAGGCTAGACTTAAACTGATCACCTATAATCTGGAAATTTCCAAAATCCAAAGTCGACAAATTAGTATAGTTTTTTTTTGGGATGAACTAACACATTATGAATACTCTATTAATAGATTTTAAATTTTTTTTTAAAAATTGGTTTTATTTTTACAGAACACACCCACTAATGGTGTTTTTTAAAAAAGATTTTACACTAAAATTTAAGGAAGTGAAGCTTGTGGCCATCTTTTAGATTTACAATTTAAAGCCACATGAAATAGTACAAATGCAACATCAGACACATAACTATTTTAAAATTGTTTTTTTTTTATTTATTTTGTGTAGTGTACTGATCATATAGGATGCAAATGCTAGAGCTGGTCCTATTTATTTGCCAGTTAGAATATTTCATAGAGATGATGACAGCCATGAATTTTGGATAATGTTATAAGTAAAAAGTGACCTTTTTTAATTAACATACTATGTAATGAAATGCTACATAAATGTGATGCAACTGAATTCTTCCACTATGATGTCATGCCTCAGTCATTAATCTACATATGACAATATCTGTAATAAGCTGAAATGGCAGAAAACATAGCAATTTTGGCTTTGAATCGTATTTTAATATCACAAGATGATTGATTATTCACTATCCTTTAATCATATTATTTTCCTCTGTTAAATCTGCATTTTTCAGAATTACATAAATAAAGCAAGAATTTCAACTTTCACACAAATCACAATAAAATAATAAACACATACTCATATTCATAAAAAAACAAGAAAATAAATGAATACTCACATTTACTTGATGATGAAAAACTATGTTTAGAATGACCACGCTTTGTATCCAATTTATTGGCAGGCTTTGTGTAAGATGGCCCACTGTCCTTTTTACTCACTTTCCCTACATGAGATGCTTGCATGCTATTTAACTGTGGCTTTATTTTTCTTTCTTTAGCACTATCAAATGAAGTATGATACTTTGATTTCTTTCTTGCTGACTGTTCATCCCTTCTCAAAGAAGAACTAGTTATATGAGAATGTAATTTTTTATTCAATGAAAAGCCATTTTTTACTTTAATTTCATCTAAAGCCTGCTTTGGCTTGCTTTGTTCAACAATGTGAGAGAAAGGAGAAATTCTTGTTGGTCTGACTTTACTATGAGCATCACTTAAGGAATCACTTTTATTCTTTTCACGGCTTGGTATATTTAAACACTCTGCTTTAGAAGTTCTTTTTTTACTTGGATATTCTCCAGATAATATGTTGTTATTCACAGAGAGTCCAAGATTTATGGTATAGTTACTTAGAACAGATTTAGTAACTGATTCTTGAACTTGAAAAACAGGGCTACTGGATGTAGGAGGGGTTCTGCTAGGACTTATAGGAGAATATGCAGCATTGGTCAAACTGCTCGACACTTCCGGATCAGACAATTCTACTCGTTTGAATCCATTTATGTTTTCCTTTATCTCCTTTTGTGAAACACGAAGAAAATTTACTTGATCAGATTTTCCTTGTGAACTTAAGGAAGAATATTTTTTTCTAGATGACCCAGTTTTATTTTCAGAAGAATATTCCTGTTTATGACTTGAAATTTCGGGAAAACTATTGCGAGGAGATAAAAGGGAATTACTAACTGAATTCTGAGCATAATTTTGTTTCATTTTGTCAGGATCACTTTTGTCTTGTACTGAAGAATCTTTCAAAGCAGATGCAATAATCGTTTTAATTCTATCTTGAAAATTTGGCATGATAATACTTTCCTGAATTCTCTGATGCTTGGATGGCAATAATTGAAGTTCTACATCCATGTGAACTGCATTATCTTTCGTAGTTTTTTGAGATATGTCTCTAAATGCCACTTTAAGTGAATTTTTATCACCATTCAATTTCAATTTTTTCTGGGTTGTGTTAAAATGCCTCTGACAGTTAATTATTTCTTTATGCATCATTTCTTTGAATCCATCTTCACCAAGCTGAGAAAAGAAAAATTAAATTTCAGTAAAAGAAAAAATTCAAAAGGAATGCATGTTTCAGGAATAAAATAGGTTGCACATAATAGGTATAGAAGGAAATAAGATCAACATTAAGCAAAAAACACTGATTTATATTGAATCTATTTTCAGCCATCATAGCAAAGCACTCACTCACTCTTGTTTACAATGTCTAAAAAAAGAACTAGCAAATATACTATGAATACTGTTTAAGAATATTTAAAAATAATAACCACTTAATACAACAAAGAATATTTAGAATAATACTACAGAGAAAAGAAAAAAGAATTAATTCGGAGCACTCAGTAACACTATGAGCATTCAGGAACTTAAGTAACGCTTCAATTAATTCTGAATATTCAGTAACATCAAATCATATTAAAATGACCAGTTTTGCATGGCAAAATACGAAGGATCTGCTAGAAGTCTGGGCAGATGCCTTAAAAGTTTAGAAGTGGCTAGGCAAACACAAATATAAGGTTTTCACTTCCATTCCAAGCACAGGATGGTGTTCAATACCTTTAAAAAATGATTCAGCATAGCTAATAAATAAAGTGCAAATATATTAAACGAGCAAAACATTGGATACATTCTATTAAATTCAATACTAAACCTTTGATTTGGATGTCCCTTTTGAGATGATGTTGTAAGTCTAGCATATTACTCAGATATACCTTCTCAGGTGACATAAAATGTTTTTTCAATGACTACACAGAATAAATTATATCTCCTCTTGTTGTAATGCCTCCAACACAAGCTCTTGGCATGGTTCTCATTTCAAAAGGTTATTCAGATTTCTCTAACTGTATTACACAACCAGATATTGTCTCTCATATTTTCTACACATGCTTTATCATGAGAAAATATTCTTCCCCTTTTCCCTTTCCTTGCTCTTGTCTCTGTGGGAATTTTACTTGCAATTTTATTAATTCAAGTGGTCTTCACACTGCATCACTGAGACAGAATCACTGCACTTTCTGGCAAAATAATTGCACCACAAATTATCATATCTATGTCCAGAAAGAATAAATTTATGCCAGCTCAAATTTTCAAAAATGCATCTCATGCCTTTTCCTACACGCAGCATGAAAACTAAAACTGAAACGTGGCATGTATATTTAAATTTATGCGAACAAATTGCACCTTTTACAGCAAAAGAGAACAGATAAAGTGCATTTAAGATATGTCAATTCTATTAGGAATGCATTTAAGAATAGGTAAGTATGTGCATATGAAACTGGTATCGCATTATGAAATTTGAAAGGATAAACAAGCAAACTCCAGACATGAAAAGAGACATTTCAAAGTTCAGAAGAGGTCATATTGCAGCAAAAAATGGCACAGATAAAAAATTTCCAATAAATTCGGAAAGTTAAACTCTAAAAGTAGCACAGTGAATCAAAAAAGGGAGGATATTCTACTAATGAATTTCATCATTTTATGATTTGCAACTAAAAATTTATTTAGTATATAGAGCAATGATAAAATGAAGAGATAGATAAGGTTTATAACGCAAACAGAATCAAAATAAAACATGGGAATAATTCCAGTACTAAATATCCAAAAATACTGGTCAACTGCTAAAAAAGTAAAATATTTTTCTTTCCCCAAAACATGCAGTACAGAAAGAGTTCTACATATCTTTTCTATTGTTCACTTGAAGCCACCTTATCTGAGTAATAGAACAATCAAAACTAGCATTCAAAAGGTAAATGATTATTTGGAACATACAGATTTAAAACTTTTGCAGTGCTTTATATCAAATCAGAAAATTTCTACTAACGAACCCATCAATGCTGTTAAAGACAGATTATCATTCATAACATATAAGCAAAATAAACTAATCAAATGTGAAATACACATTTATGCACTGGCTGATTTAACAGCAGGAAATCTTAGTCGTGCATTCGAATAAGCACCAGAATCTTTATCTCTATTTAAAACTTCACTCTCTAGAATTCCTATTGCAGGAAGATACAACAATACGACATAATTACATTCAAGGTTAGATAATACACCAGGATTATCTTAGAAGAAGAAACACTAACAATGAAGTGTCACCTTTATGGCACAACAGAAATTAGATGAAGGAGAATCCTTGCATAAAATCTGGATATCAGAATGGACTACTTTTGCAAAATTGTTTGAAATCTTAGAAGTTATTCTTTCCAAACTAAAATCACATGTTATCAATTTCTACATGATGTATTAAGCTCTAAAAGAAAGATAAAAGGTTGCATTTGAAATTTCTCAAGGTTCTTGCTGATATAATGGAAGGTAATTTTTGTCAATTACAAGTGTATGTCTTCACATCAGTGAACAAATGTAGTATTACATATTCTCAATATGAGTATAGAAAAATTGGAATTGCAATAATAAAAAATTTTCTGACACTTTTTGCAGTTTTGTAATGCGTTTCAATTCTATATTATGTGGTGGATGTATTTGCACAAATAAAATAGACAAAACTAAATATATTATTTATGTAATACAAATTTTAAGAAAACTAGCAAAACTTTCTTTTGAAATTGATATGCATTATTTCATGACAGACTAATAATGTCTCTTTCTTCATATCCTGAAGAAAAATGAAGAGAATCCAAAAATATACTCATATTCTAGAAAATATAAATTTGAGAATTTGAAAGTCGATCAAAATGGATCATAGATCAGACAATGAGCAAATTTAATGTAGTAGCTTTTAACACATACAGTGCCAAATGTGGATTGGCAGAATGAGATTTTGCAAATATACATTATATTAACTGTTGCCATTTAATAAATGTTGAATTACGTAAAATTTCATTCATACATTGTTCAACATTCATTCATGATCTCTGGCTGGAAGTTATCAATAATTTTATCTATATCAATTAAAAATGAAGCCAAACAAATCGTACAGATTGCGGAAGCAATTGGCAGTGAAGGATTTTCAGACATGAAGGAAGGAGAACTTAAAAACTTATCAAGAAATGAAACAAAAAATTACAGCACCTTTATCTTATAAGAATTTAAACAAATTGTTAAAAAAAGTACAGAAACAGCCTATTTTTACAATACAGATTGACCCAAATGAAGAAAGATGAGAATTAAATTTGAGAGATTTAAATTTCTTGATTTTAATTACTTTTCAAAATTTTTAATGTTTCAAAATATTTATCAGAAAATAATGACGCAATAACTCCCACTTTGCTTCATCAAATACATTTAAATGGATATTGCTTAGAATTACAGGCTTTTCTAAATACAATTTGAATATTTGTTAAAATTTTTTCCTTTTGTATTTTTCTACAGTTTACCGAAGTACATTGACTAATCAACAGTGTCTTACGTCTTTAAGAAATACATTTAAAAAACTCAAAGCACAGAAAAAAAGGAATGATACTTAAAAAAAAAAATCTTAATGAACAATAATAGAGGGACCAGTATACTTAAAATACCATGTAATAAAATAATACATGAAATATTAATGATTGATTGCTCTTTAAGATCTGAGTACCTTCTCTAAGCAAGGTCTCTTAAACTTTCGATATTCAAGCTCCAGATCAGAGATTTCAGAGGTAAGTTTATTCACTTCAGACTTGAACTTCATATACTTTCTGATACCTTCTTTCACCTGTAAGAAAACATCAAGTCTTACACATACACATATGTGACTTTAGAAACAGCTATAAAATGTTTTAATCTCATACAATTTATGTTATTTTACACAATTTCACACATATAATACCAGGCATTGGAAATGAAACACCGAGAAGGAGTAGCCCGAAAATTATGCAAATTTCAGGGTAGACAGATATCACCGAATTATGCGAGTTATTTGAAATGTGCAGCTCCCCAGCGCATGTCGAAGAAGATATAAGATAAGGAACCTGCAAAATGTTCAATTTTCATGTCGTTATTTCTGCTAGAGAAATCATCATAGAAGCTTTATTCTTGCCTCAGAGGACAAGCAGAGAATATAATACGAGATATAACATGTGAAATAGCAGAGAATGCCAGGCTGGACGCAGTTCCAGCAGACAGATGATTTTACAAGGGACAGGGTGATCGGACTGAGAAGAATAAGCTGGTTCATAAGGCAAGTCTCAGCTGACACACACCTCAACGCGCCCACAGTGCATGGGCTATGGCGACGATGGTTAGAATAAGAAAAATGTGGCATGTTTGAGGAGTGCCGGTACAGCCACAGAGACGTCAGCCCACGTTGATCAACAAGTGGTGGCGCACATGCAAGCCACGTCTGTCTCCATTCTGCAGCATGTTCAAGACACTCTTGGATGTTCTCATATCAACCAGAACCATTTGCTGTCGATTGGTGGCTACTGGCCAGCACTTGTGGCATCAGTTAAGAAGACTTCCATTGACCTCACATCACAGATTTCAACGTCTGTAATTGTGCCGGTCTCAAGCGATGTGGACGACGGAGTGGCACAGGGTCACATTCTCGTACAAATCACACTTCTGGTTCTCCAAAGAAGTCACTGCACATGAGTGTGGTGTCGATCTGTAGACAGGGCCAATCCGGTAGCAATTTTGGAACACCCCAACCTGCGACAGCGAGGCATCATGGTTTGGGGCGCAATTGGTTTCAGGTCACCTATAGTTCGTATCCAGGGTGCTATGACTGTCCAATGATATGTGAATGATGTGCTGCGGCCACTGACACTCCCTTACCTCTCCTGATCTTTCACCAATCGAACATATTTAGGATGCAATTGGATGCCATTTGCAGACCCTACAATTGCCATGTTCAGAAGATAAACTGTGGCAAATGGTTGATGGGTAATGGAGAGCCATTCCTCAGAATGTTATCTGTAGTCTCAGTCACCTTGTACCTAGACATGTTGCTTCGTGTATCGCCTTCCAAGGTGGATGTCCAATTAACATACCTGGACGCATCCACTGAGCACTGGCTCTGGTGACAATGATTGGAACAAGAAAATGTGGCAAGTTCAAAGGGTGCTGGTGCAGCCAGAGTGACAGCACGCATGGATCGACACATTCGCTGACAAGCAGTGGTGCACCCGTATGCAACTAGCAGCATGTTCCAGACATCTTGGATGCTCCCATATTGACCAGAAACATTTGCTGTCAATTGGTGGCTAGTGGCCTGCACTCATGGCATGAGTTAATACTAGGCTCGAGTGCTGTGGACAATGCAATGCCACAGGGTCGTGTTCCAAGATGAATTCTGTTTCACACTTCTGTTTCTCTAATGACAATTTTTGCATATGAGTGTAGTGTTGATATGGACACAAGTCCATTCTGGCAGCAACTGCGAAATATCTCATCATGTATGTGACAACACAGAATCATGGTTTGCATACGATTCCAGGTTACCTCTAGTTTGTATTCACTATGACAGCCCAACGATATGTGGATGATGTGCTGCAGCTGGTGACACCCCCTACCTTCAGGGAGTGCCCAATGATTTTTATCAGCAAGATAACGCTCAACCACACTGCTCGTATCAGCCAATGTGCTCTGCATGGTGTACATGCTTCCCCGGCTAATGTTCGCTCCTGATCTTTCACCAATCGAACACATTTGGAATGTGATTGTACGCCATTTGCAGACCCTGCCATTGCTGCATTCAGAACTGTGACAGATAACACTCTATAACAAAAAGGTTGATGCACCAAGAAGGAAAGGCTTTGAAATTTCGTATGCACAAATGTTTTAACAAAAAATGCAAAAGATTAAAATTTGGTGTCCAATGAATGAATAATGTGATTTCCAGCACATTGGAACTGCACAGCCAGCAGATGTACATAAGGAGCTGTTCTTGAACTGCTCTTAAAAATTTCTCTTGCACTGTGATTAACTGAAAAAAAGCCTTGCCACAGGATTCGAGCTCATTACCAGCAACTGTCAGAGTTTGAAAGATGTTGCATCACTGGACTGAAAGAGGCAGGTTGGAAGAACCAGAGAATTGCTCGTCATACGAGTCGAAGTGATGTGGTGGTTTGAAGACGCTGGCAAGAATCGGTGGACAATGGCAGATTTTAGCATCATGATGGTAGCGGCCAACTTAGGGTCACAACAGATAGGGAGGACAGTGTGATTGTTAGATCAGCTGTTACAGCACCTGTTTCATCACTATCAACCATCAGACGTGCAATCCACACACAAGTGTCCACCATGACCATTCACAGATGGCTAATAGAGCAAAATCTACTCTCATAGCCATTTTTGCGCCACCTGTCACTCATGCCTGCAGACTGTCAAGCCAGATTACAGTGGCGCTTGGCTCGATCAGGTTGGAATAATACTGACTGGGAACATAGTCTTTAGTGATGAATCCTGCTTCCCACTGCATCGTGACAATACTTGAAGATGTGTCTAGAGCCTAGAGCAGTGTGACAATCCTGCTTTCACTACCGCACGTCACACATGCCCTCAGCCAGGTCTTATGGTCTAGGATGCCATTTCCCTTGATAGTTGGACCCCCTTGGCCATCATCAGACTCATACTTACAGCACAGCGGTATGTCGATGACATTCTGACAGCATATACGGCACGTGTTGCTATGAACTGTCTTACAACTTCTCAAACACTTTCTTGCTCAACCAGATCACCAGATCTCTCTCCAATTGAGCATGTCTGAGATACGAAGGGAAGGTGACTGCATCTACCAGGGAATGGTGGATCTAGCTCGAAAACTGGAGCAAATTTGGCAAGAAAAACCCTAGAAAACCACCCAAGAGCTTTATCAGTCTATGCCATGGCGTGTAGCAGCTTGCATCCAGGCTAGAGGTGGGTCAACACCTCATTGAGCTCGTTACTTTGTAATTATGTAACTGAAATAAATCATTCAATTGTTCTGAAATCTTAATCTTTTTCTATTCTGTACATAATCTTCCTAGCCACCAATTTTTGTCCAGGGGACAATTCTTGGTGTGTCGATTTTTTGTTTGTTTTTTGTTATAAAGTGTAGTTGGCAGGGAATGGAGGGCCATTTTTTAGGACACCATCCGTAGTCTCAGTGACTCTATACCTACATGTGTTGCTTCATGTATCACCGTCCTAGGTGGTCCTACAAACCAAATGGTAAGGGCGTGGTGCCCGTCTTCCCCGTTCCTAAAATCCTAAATCCTAAACCTACTGAGCAGACACTGTTCTCGCTCTGTATTATGCATGCATATCATTTTGAAATAAAGATCACTTATTGTTCATTGCTGTCTCTCTCTGTTTGCCGAGCATGAATAGTAGCTAGACAATATACAAGTTTACTTTTAATTCAGCTGAATAGTTTGCGTCCAAACAGTTAAGACACTCGAAATATTGGCTTTGGAACATTTGTAAATCCTCTGCATTTCCATCCTTTTCTAGGCAAAAAGGTGAACTTTTCTGATCACCCATTACCATACCTTTGTTGATATCTTACCATACCTTTGTTGATATCTTAACTTGTGGGAAATACCTTTTTCCTAAGAGAGCATGGGCAGGGAGTTCAAAAGCATTATCTTATGTTGCAATGTTTCTCGGTATAATAGCTTTCAAGTTATCTAGCAACACAAACAGAGATATCTGAATCAAAACAATTTGAAAGCTTATAAAAAATTACAATAATGGTGATTCTCAGAGTTTGAGTTTGGAAGACAGAGTAATTATTTTTTTATGCAGATAATCTAGAAACCAATTACATAATTTCCATGCATTTGAGATTAGTTTTCACAATGAACTGAAACCGTGCTCTACATCAAATTCTTCACAAAATATGAAATTCATTAGGAAAATGTTCATGCAACATACAGAGCAAATGTACTTAATTTCACAAGAAAAAGCGTTATTCAGCAAAACAAAACTCCGGGGGGAGGAACCGAGTTTGTACACATTTTTCAATGGAAATTAAGGTCTTTTAATGGCCATAAGAAAAGTTACAAACAGATCAGCAAAAACGATCAGAATAAATTAAAGAAAATATCTAAACCACCGACTTCAAATCTGTAATGTCTTTCCAGAATAAAATAAAAGTATGTAGCATACATTACTATTAAATAAATTTAACTTGATTGTAAAATAAGCTTGAGAATAAAACAAACTCCCTAAACTTTCATTCAAGGTAGATGTCATTCACAACATTTCCCTTACAAATTACATAAATATAATTTACACTTAAGCATGGTAGCCATAAAAAAGGGCCAAAAAATGTCACGAGCACAGTTAAGGATCTTTTGCAAATTTTGGCCCAAATTAATGACTTTTATAGACTGAATTAATCCTGGAAAACTGGTTTCACTGAGCTCTTTTTAGAGAATTAACAAAATTCTGAAAAAATCTAATTGATATGTTACTTAATATCTGCAGAAAAATGCACCTAGTTTTTAGAAGGACAATCAAATTCTAATGTCTGAAATGAAATATAACAAGATGAGGTAAAGAAAAAAGATCTGACACCTTTTTCCTTAAAACATCAAAATAATAATTTACTCGAATAATAATTAGTTGATCACCTTGTAGAGCTCCTATGTTTAGATGGCCCATTATGATTACAAATAACAGTCAAAATATTTGAGTTTTACATACAACTTCCAGTTAATAGATAGAAATGACCCAAGTAATGATTGATTACTGAAAATCTGAAAAATGTTAAATTTAATGAATAATTTC